TCCTATAATTCATTTCTAACACTATCTGCTCAGACATAATGTCAGACCACATAGGTTGAGGGTTTGGTCCCCAAGACTGCCCCCACTTCCGACCCAGTTGCAAGTCTGGGCTTCTGGAAATTGATTATAGATTGGGGTTCCCAAGACCCCCTCCTCTTGTTTGATTTGCTTGCTAGAGTGGCTTACAGAACTCAGGAAAGCACTCTGCTTACATTTAATGGTTTACTATAAAAGATATTTTAAAGGATACAAATAAGCAACCAGATGGAGATATACAGAGCAAAGTCTGAAAGGGTCCCACGCACAGGCTGAGTTTGGGAGCTCTCATCTCTATGGAGTTAGGGTGCACCACCTTCCCAGCGTATGGATGAACTCTCATCAGCCTTCCTGCAAGCTTCCACGTGTTCAGCTGTGTGGATATGCTCAGAATCCTATCTTTTTAGTTTTTCTTTCTTTTTTCTTTTTTGGTGGTGGTGGTGGTGGGAGACTTCATTGCATAGGCGTGATTGCTACTGCTAGTAGACTAGGTGGGGAAAGCCAGCAAGGGCCTATTCAAATTCTTCTTGGCTTCTCGCCAGGATATGGCAGAGGACTCCTCTGGAATGACTATCAGGGAAGGGTGGGTTGGAGAATTTCTTTGTGACCAGATCTAAGATAGAACAGCAGGGGAAGATAAGGATTTTTATGACCCACTTTTGGAAGAAGTTAATGAGCCAGGAATCATGGACAAAAAACAAAAAAATATATAATACAACACTGGGGTTTCTACAGCTCTAAAGGTACTTCTCATCTTGCCTCATTCCTCAATTTAATACAGGCCAACTTCTACCCACAAGTACCTGAAATCCCTCTAAATTCACTTGCTACTGAATTGTCAAATCCCCAATTCTAATTTACCTTATTTTTCTACAGTATTTGACAATTGTCTCAACCTCTTTTTTTTTAAATGATTAGAAATTTATATGCAACTGATGTCGGCACACACAATTTAACCTCTTACTTTTTGAATTCACATTCCCCTAGGTTCCAGGACACTTTTTTCTTATTGTTGTTCAGACAATACTAGCTACCCCTCCTCCAACCATTAGTTTTCTCCTCTTTGGTTCTCTTATTTTCTTATTCTATATGTGCTTTCCATCTCTAATCTTATCCACAGTAATCGGTTATCTTTTATATGTTAATAATTTGAAATCTCTATATTCCTAACTTTTCTCCTGACTCCCATTATCCATATTCCCAAATTTGTTGGAAATCTACTTGTTCTCATACACACTGATTTTTTTTTTTTTTTTTGGTGGGGATGGTTACCAGGGATTAAACTCAGGGGCACTTGATCACTGAGCAACATCCCCAGCCCTAATTCATATTTTATTTAGATACAGGGTCTCACTGAATTTCTTAATGCCTAATTTTTTGCTGAGGCTGGCTTTGAACTCAAGATTCTCCTGTCTCAGCTTCCTAAGCCGCTGGGATTACAGGTGTGTGCCACCACGCCTAGCTCTCACACACACTGAATCTCAGTTAATGCTGTTACTATAACATGGTTCTCCAAACTGGAAACTTTGGAGTTAAAAAAAAAAAAAAGGCTGGGGATGTAGTTTAGTTGGCAGAGGACTTGCCTAGAATCCGMAGAGGTCCTCCTGGGTTCAATCCCCAGGGAAGTTAAAACATCAACAAAAACTAAACCAAAACAAAACACAAAGGCTTTGGTATCAGAAAGTATCTTTTCCCCTAACCCTCACATCTCATCTATCACAAAGAGCCCATTTCTATTCTTTTGTTTCTCAAATCTGTCCCTTCCTCTCTATTCTCAATGTCTTTCTTTAGTTTACCCTTGAATTTCTCTCTTGGATAAAGACAGTAGCCATCTTCTCTCTGATCCTGTATGCAGTGAGTGGTAACAGTACAATCTGCTGCGTTGCAAATATTACAGTAAATCTTGGTAGCCCAAGTAGTGTGGTGTGGGTGGAGAGGCAGTGAGAATCACAAGACTGGACCCAAAATAAYAGCCAGAGGCTATTTTATGTTGTGAAAAATCACATACATTTTATGGATAAAAAGGTGACATTGCTAAGTTACTCATGTATATAGGCTAAAAGAGAAATTTTAAAAGGCAAAGCAGATGACACTGATGGCTGCTTTCAGATCTTTTGTACCATCTTTTTCATTGTTCCTATAGATACAGCAATAAATCCTGGTAGTGATTACACATTACTCTGGTCTGCAGTACAAAGAATTCCTAGGAAATAAACATCTCACAGATTTATTATTGCATGATGCTTCTCGTCCATCCCTAATTTTTAAGAAAGTGAGTTTGTATTTCCAATTTTCTTTTTACATGTGAATTGTTACCACCAGCTGTTTCAAATTTTGGTTATTCTCCCCCCCCCCCCGCTTTTTTTTGTTGTAGTTTTGTTTTCTGAGATGGGGTCTTGCTATGTTGCACAGGCCAGCCACAAACTCTTGGGCTCAAGCCATTCTCCCATCTCAGTCTTGGAGTAGTAGGTACTAGAGGCACATACCACCATGCCTGGCTCCTCGCCCCATTTTAAAGTAAACCCAAATGTTTTCAATTGATGCAAAAGTCTTGAATTTAGGAATTGCATAATTGTATTTATTGAAATTTCATACAACTTCTAATGTACATTGCATACTGTCTCCTGTTCTTGCAATTCCCCACTCTGTTCTTTTTTGCCTTTGCATGTTATTTCTCCTCTACCTAGAATGCCCAGATTGATTCTGAATTCACTTCCTTTTTCCCCCTGGTACTGGAGATTGAATCCAGGAGTGCTCTAATGGGCTACAACCCCATTCTATTATTAATTCTGATACATGGTCTCGCTAAATTGCCTTGAACTTATGATCCTCCGCCTCGGCTTCCCAAGTAGTTTGGGTTACAGGGTGCACCACCATATCCTAGCTTGAATTTACTTTTTAAATTTGGTACCAGGGATTAAACTCAGGGGTGCTTAACCACTGAGTCACATCCCCAGTCCTTTTTATTTTTTGAGAAAGGGGTAGGTTTAGAACCTCACTTAGTTGCTGAGGCTGGCTTTGAACTTATGATCCTTTTCCCCCACTTTTGGTACTAAGGAACTTAACCACTGAGCCACATCCACAGCCTTTTTAAAAAAATATTTTGAGACAGGGTCTTGCTGAGTTGCTTAGGGCCTTGCTAAATTGCTAAGGCTTTGAACTTGTGATCCTGTTTCAGCCACCTGAACCACTGCAATTACAGGTGTGAACCATCACGCCTGGCCTTGAATTCACTTTTATGATTCTGCTTGAGCCAGGCATGGTCACACACACCTGAAATCCCAGCAGCTTAGGAGGCTGAGGCCAAGGATTGTAAATCTGAGGTCAGCCTCAGCAACAGGGAGACCCTGTTTCAAAATAAAAAATAAAAAGGACTAGGGATTTAGCTCAGTGCCCCTGTGTTCAAACCCCAGTACCAAAACAATAGCAGCAACAACAAAGCAAACAAAACAAACAAAAAATGGAAAGATTCTGCTCAAAGATACCTCCTTGAGTCATCTTCTCTGCTGCTTCTATCCTATGCACCTATGGCACTGCTTTTCATTCATTACTAACTTGAGTGTTTTTCTTTTTACCATAACCACCAACCATTGGAGAACAAAGACTGTCTCAGTGTTTTTATTTATTTTTTTGTACTAGGGATTTAACCTAAGGGTACTTTACCACTGAGCTACATCCCCAGCCCTTTTTAAAATTTTGAGATGGGGTCTTGCTAAGTTGCTGAGCTAGCCTTATAGACATGTGCATGTGCCACCATGCCCAGTTTTAGGTTTTTTTTTTTTTTTTTAAAGAGAGAGAGAGAATTTTATTTTTTAGTTTTCAGCGGATACAACATCTTTGTTTGAATGTGGTGCTGAGGATTGAACCCGGGCCGCACGCATGCCAGGCGAGCGTGCTACCGCTTGAGCCACATCCCCAGCTCCAGCTTTAGGGTTTTTATACAGAAGAACCAGCACATTTCTAATACCATAATAATTATTTTTTCTGGTACTGGGGATTTAACCAAAGCGTGTTTTACCAATGAGCTTTTTATTTTGAGACAGGGATTATAGGTGTACACCACCATGTCTGGCTTAAGATTTTGAATGAAGGAATGAATGGTATTAACTACATCTTGGAACCTAAATGACAATGGTAAACAACTGGTAGAAATTAAAGCCAAAATATTGATAATATTTAACCACAATTGAATATACTATATGCTAGGCACCAGACTGAGTAATTCGCGTATACGTATTTTTAAAAACTGACATATAATACCATCAGCTCCAGAGGCTGGGACAGGAGGATCCCAAGTTCAAAGCCAGCCTCAGCAATGGTGAGGTGCTTAGCAACTCAGTGAGACCTTGTCTTAAATAATACAAAATAAGGCTGAGTTCAATCCCTGGAACCCAACAACAAAAAAACCTGACATATAACTCACATACCATAAAATTCACTCTCGTATTAAAGTACACAGTAATTTAGCTAAAAATGGGTAAAGTTGCTGGGCACAATGGTTGCATGCCTATAATCTCAGCAGCTTGGAAGACTGAAGCAAGAGGATCACAACAAAAGTCAGCCTCAGCAACTAAGTAAGGCCCTAAGCAAAATAAGGGCTGGGATGTGGCTCAGTGGTTAAACATCCCTGAATTCAATACTCAGTACAAAAAAAAAAAAAAAAAAAGTTTTAGTGTCATTGCCCTTGTACTATTCTTACTACCTCCAATACCAGATGATTTCAAGAGATTTAATTTGGAAAAACTTGTACAAAACTGCAGAGGCTAGGAAACAAGAAAGCACTTTTGAGATAAATGAGACATTAACAAAATATAAACATGGTTTTAACAAGACATATAGAAAACTCAAATATTTTTGATTACTTATTTTATTGAAAACAGTTAATTTGAAATATATACATTATTTAAAAAACATGTTATTGATACAATGTCAAACTTTTCATAAAGGATCATTTCAGTCTCACTCCTGCCAAAGTGGCACCTCTATTTTTCTAGAATCATTTGCCTAGGAGTAGGGTCTCTACTGCCCTCTGGTGGTAATTCAGGAGATGCTCATGATGGAAGAATTCCAAAGTTCCATGGCTGAGTAGTGCAAATTTGCCAAGTGCTGCAGCTTTCTCTGCATAGGAGGAAGGCAACTTTAATGAATGTCTTTATTCCTTTAGAAAGTGTTCTTCCTAATGACACTCAGCCAAGTTCTTAGCAAAAAACACTTTCTCCTAAATTTTCATCTTGTTTTAAAAAACAAAACCTGTTAAAACAAACAGGAGAAATAATGTGGGAAAGCCTCAGAGTAATTCAGGCTATAATCCAGACTCCTCAAAAGGTTAACAGGAGAGTGAAAATTACGAATAAGGCTTAGTATACAAGATAAGCTTTTTAGTGCTCACTTTGATTCTTCACTTTGTCTTTATAAAAACGGATACTCCAGTCAACTGTAAGTCTTTTTGGGAGCAGATAACCTTTTCCTAGATTTCAGGAAACTGACCGCCTCTGAAAGTAGACATCAACAGAGCCTAAGTTCATTCTCCAGACCGAACACTTTGGATTTGATGTTCTTCAGTTCTCCTTGTATCTTGTGTGCCCGTCTATTGCTGTCCCGGACCTCACACAGAATGGCAAGGTCCTGGTTTGCCCGGGTATTAATTGTTGCCTAAAGATTTGAAAAAAGAAGAAACAATTATGGCATAAGACAGGGAAGAGATTTCAAAAAGAGCAGACCGTGCTGAATGGCATCTTTTTATGGGATATTTAGTACACAGAATAAATTCAATTCTTAGTTTTTCAGTAAAGGCAGAGATTATTTCCCATACAACAGTAGAGAAGCCTCGAAAAAAGAGTGCAATAAACAAAAATGGGTAAAAAGAAGAGATCTATATAAACAACATTATTGGTAAATCTGCTAAAGAATAAGAGGAAATACCTCCTCTTTTTTTATTATTAACCTTGTTCAGAACATAGTTATCATTTTGGATATATRGATGACTAGTTAAATCTCTAAGAAGGCTCTTGATGCAACTTGGCTTCTAAAAAGCTCTGTCTGTCTGTCTGTGAAAATTACTTTATTAATTACTCACTTTTCCCATTTGTCCAACAGACATAATTCTTTAAATTTACTTCATGAATTGGGAGGGATGACAATTTCTTTTGTTTGTTTCTTTTTTTTTTTTCGGGGGGTGGGGTGGGTACTGGGGATTAAACTCAGGGGCACTTAACCTCTGAGCCACACCCCCAGCCCTATTTTGTATTTTATTTAGAGACAGGGTTTCACTGAGTTGTTTAGCACCTTGCTGCTGCTGGCTTTAAACTCAGGATTCTCCTGCCTCAGCCTCCTGAGCTGCTGGGATTACGGCGTGTACCACCGTACCTGGCACCAGGGATGACAATTTCTAAGTTTTGTTTAGATAGAAGTATTAATGATACAGTCATTCAATTATTTCAGTCTATTTTGGTTTTCTCTGTAGTGTGTACTTGTTGAATTGATTTTCAGGGAGACTAGAAGGGTGGTGATCCTAGTGTCTACCAGCAGGGAAATGGCATATCTTTCTTTTTTTTTTTTTTTTTTTTTTTTGTGGTGCTGGGGATTGAACCCAGGGCCTTGTGGAAGCTAAGCACATGCCCTACCACTGAGCTTCAATGGAGCCCTCATGATCATGTTCCCACACTTCTACCCTTTCTCTTTTGTGGTAATTCAGGACCAGAGATTACCTTATAGAGCATTTGCTCTAAGTCTTTCAGTCTCTGTCGGAGAACCTTGATATCTGTCTTAAAGCCTTCTACTTCCAACATACGTCTGTGCTCTAAGGCCTCATAGCGTTTTGTCATTATCTGTAAACGCTTACTCATCTTGTTAGAGCGATCCTATATATGGAGAATAGGAAGGCATTTAAGAGGAAGGAAGCATTCCCCAGTCACCTACACTTCCCACTCCATTTTAAGTGGCAGAGAATTTTGTACCTTGAAGATCTCTCTCCTCACTCCCTCCTCCTCTCGAATTTTGGCAAGTTCTTCTTCTAGAGCAATGCACTGCTCTTGGTACATGTTAGACAACTTTTTCTCTTGTGCCAACTTATCCTTTAGGGACTGCAGATTGAAAGGACAAAAAGCATTAATACTAAGTTCTACAAATTAGATGATTCAATTAGCACTTAGGTAATGAAAGAAAAGAAAGATGGGATTTCTAGAAATACAAAATGAGTTAAGGAACAAGATGGCAAGGAACCTTGGAGAACATATGGAAACCTACAATTTCTTTTTTCTTTTTTGGATGGAGACTGAAATAAGGACCTTAAGCGTGCTAAACAAGTTGCTCTACCATGGAGCCACATTCCCAGCTCCAAACTTCCAATTTCTAGATTACTTTTTTAGCCCCTTTTTGAAAGAAATCCTTTAAAATAAAGGTCACATAATGGAGCTCAGAATTTGTCCCAAATAAAATGTTACAAAAATGTTTTGGGCCACGCTTCTAAAGAAAAAACATTAACTAACAACAATAACATGTTTTTATATGTGTTTCATTGAATAGCAAAATGACCTTTTAAAAACTTTAAATATTAGAGTTTGGTGCAGTAGTGTACACCTGTGGTTCCAGCTACTCAGGAGGCTAAGGCAGGAGGATTACTTAAAGCCCAAGGGTTCAAGGTCAACCTGGGTAATATAGTGAAACTATCTCAAAAACAAAACAAAAAAATCTTAAATCAGATGTTACTTACGTAAACACAATCCTTAGAAGACAACGGTTGGCACTAAGTTCATATTTTTTACCATGACCTATCTGCCCACTCTTGTAAGCTTCTTGCCTATCATTTCCTCCTTGCTTAATCTTCTACAACCGTGATATCTTTCCTCTTCCTTGAATGTACCCGAGGGCCTTTAAACTTCTTCTCCCTTTGCCTGGAATGCTCCTTCCCTAGGTCTCCTTGGCAAGTTTAGTTCCAGAAACATCAGACATAAGAGTGTCCCTGTGCTCCCCTTCTGAAATGGGCTTCCAGTGATTATATGCAATCTTCATATAATTCTCTATTCCTTAATATCTATCACTTTTTATAATCTATAATTTTCTTGCTTATTTGCTATTGTTTGTTTTTTTCATTAAATATAAACACCAAGCCTGGTGTGGTACACACACCTGTGATCCCAGTGACTTGGGAGGCTAAGGCAGGAAGACCGCAAGTTGGAGGCTAACCTCAGCAGCTTGGTGAGACCCCCAGCAACTTAGCCCTGTGATAAAGCACTCCTGAGTTCAATCCCCAGCACCTAAACAAAATAAAGTGGGATGGAGATGTATTTCAGTGGTTGTGCCCTTGGGTTCAATCATCAGTACTGCAAAAAAAAAACAGTAAACACCACATGGACAGATCTTGTCTAGCCTATGTACTGCTGTAGCCACAAAGTCTAGCCCATTTGTTAATGATCAGCTATTTTGGGCTGCTGCTACCCCAGCTTCCTTGACTGAATGGATTATATATGATAATATGTAGGTTCTTTGGAATTCTCTAAGTTCTTGTGGTGTTCTAGAAAAATAAACATTTCTCTAAGGTATCAGGACATTACCTTAATATATTCATTTTGGGTATGATGACTGTCATGTAAAACTGGCATAACTTTTCCAATTTTATCATCTTTCTTCTTATTCTGCATCCTGTATTGCTTAATCTTTGACATCAACTGATCTTTTTCAAGCATCCATGTCTTCTCTTTAGTTTGGTTTTCAAATCTCAATTTCAAAAAGTCTTTGGTGCTCTCATAGAGCAGTTCTTGGGTATGATGGAGACTATGAAAGAGAGGACAAGCATGGACATTAAAATGCTTATATAGTACATCTGAAATATAGGGTTATTCCATAAAGGAAGACAACGGTTCTTTTCCAATTGTACAATATATGAATCTTATAAAATATTAGCAGTCTTAAAACCACACTTATTCTGATCATTGGCAACCTTATTTTTTTAACCAGGGATCAAACCCAGGGGTGCTCTACCACTTAGCCATATCATCAGCCCTTTTCATTTTTTATTTTGAGAGAGGGTCTTGCCAAGTTGTGTAGGGCCTGGCTAAGTTGCTGAGGCTGGCTTTGAACTTGAGATCCTCCTGAGCTGTTGGGATTATGGGTGTGTGCCACCATGCCATTTTACTGGGTAAGGGTAATGTATCTACCCGTGCTCCCAGGTTCATAGATTAGCCTTTATAAACTTTCTCTATGAAGTCATCTCAATACTTAAGTCCATTTTAATTTCCCATTTCTTATTTTTTAAAAAACTTTTTTAAACTTTATTTTATTAGTTTACTTTTTTAAAATGTGGTGCTGAGGATTGAACCCAATGCCTCACACATGATAGGCAAGTGCTCTACCACTGAGCCACAATCCCAGCTCTCTTATTATTAATTTTAATATATACCTTATCTCATAATTCAACACTTGTTTATATATATATATATATATATGATTTTAAATATCAACCTGCAGGATGTTCCCCAAAGTATATACCTTATTTATAATGTATTTTTATGCTACTATGAATAGATTTGCAAGAATACTATCTATCAACTACTAGACATATACAGGCACTACATAGATTCCTGATAACTATTCTCAAGATTTAGAAATTGAAAAATGATGTTTGTAGTTTTGAAAATGAATATCCCTGCCAGCATTGTGGTGCATACCAGTAATCGCAGCAACTTGGGAAGCTGAGGCAGGAAGATCACAAGTTTGAGGCCAGCCTCACAAACTACTGAGATCCTATATCAAATAAAAAATAAAAAGGACTCTGGATGTAGGTCACTGGTAAAGCACTCCTGGGTTCAATCCCCAGTAAACAACTCCCCAGAAATCCCTGGAAATCAGCAACTCATTAATTTAACACCACCACCTAGAAAAATTCTATACTGAATGATTCAATTACCTACAAGAATACTAAGTACCATGCAGCAATAACTAGTTTTCCAATGAAAACCTATTGCTATATTCACTTAATTCTTTTTATGATTAACAGGGTACACAGATAGAGGAAAATGATAGCACTGTGCCAGGCACAAAGTAAAGCAAATGTAACCAGATGAATATATATATGTATTAGGGTATATGTGTGTACACAAACAGAGAGAAAAAAGAAAAAAAAAGTAAACACACGGGGATAGACTGAGTCARTTACCACAAGGATCTCTCCTGTTTTCAGTGAGTAATTTTATTCTATTTTACATTATATTCTCAATTACAAATTAGGAAAGTATTGTCCAGTTAATATACAATGATTTGAGAGTGACACCCAAAGGACAATCATTAATGACCTAGGATTTTAGGCTATTCAATAACCTTAGAATGATCTATCTAGGGCTGGGGTTGTAGCTCAGTGGTAGAGTACCTGCCTAGCATGTGTGAGGCACTGGGTTCGATCCTCAGCACCACATCCGAATAAAAATAAAATAAAATAAAGGTATTATGTCCATTTACAAAAAAAAAAAAAAAAAAGAAAGAAAGAAAAAAAAAAGATCTATCTAATGGACAAAATTGACCAAGCTTATATATGCAAATAATGCTAAACCAAATTACAAATTATGGGCTGGAGTTGTGGCTCAATGGAAGAGTATTTGCCTAGCATGTATGAAGCCCTGGGTTTGATCCCAAGCACAGAAAAAAAAATTTTTTTTTAAATATTTTTTGTTTTAGTTGTAGATAGACCAAATTCCTTTATTTATTTATCTTTATATGGTGCTGAGGATGGAAACCAGGCCACACACAAGCGCTCTACCACTGAGCCACAGGCCCAGACCCCAGAAGAAAATTTTTAAAAAAGATGTTTAATGTAGAAAAGAAATGGCAAGGTGCAACTTGTGTGTGTGGCTACTGTGTACACAGGGTAGGACACAGGCTATATATCAAGACCTGAGGAAACAAAAGACAATCTACTATGAGGTGATAAGTCATTATGGAGGCACAGTAATCATTATGGGAACGTGGAAAGGAAGAACTTAATTTGGCCTGGATGTCTTCAGAGAAGGAGTGACAATGCTTATTATCAAGGTGCCTGCTATATAAACAAGAGTTATTAGTCCGGCTGAAGCACAATGTGAACTAAAGCAAGAGGGAAGGAGTTGAAGCTCAAAGATTAATTTGATGTTAGACAATGGAGTCCCTAAGAATTTATGCTTTATAACACAGTAAATGGGAGAGCTATCAAATGTGGTTTTTATTTATTTTATCTTTTCTTTTATGGGACTAGGGATTGAGCTGCAAGGCCTGTGTATGCTAGACAAGCATTCGACCATTGAATTATAATACCCAGCACTTCTTAAAATTTTATTTTTCGATAGCATCTCACAAAGTTGTTAAGGCTGGCCTTGAACTTGCAATCTTCTTGCCCCAGCCTCCTGAGTAACTGGGACTATAATTGTGTGCCACTATACCTGGTTCAAATGTTTTTAAGCAGTTGGTAACTTCTAATAGAGGAATTAATTCATAAGGAAGGTTATAAAATACAAAGAGAAAAATGATAGGAAGAATAGTTAGATTATTACAAGAATTTAAACAATACAATTGAATCAACAGAAATGAAAAGCAGAGAATTTCTTTTTTTTGGTACGGAGGATTGAACCCAGGGGCACTTTATTACTGAGCTTCATCCCCAGCCCAGTCCTTTTTTATTTTGAGACAGGGTCTTGCTAAATTGCCCAGGCTGTCCTTGAACTTGCAATCCTTCTGCCTCAGCCTCTCAAATAGCCGGGATTACAGGATTACACCACCATGCCTAGCCAGAGAATGAATTTAGAAGACTTGTTGTCTTCTAAATATATGGTTTGTAATTAAGAAATGAGAGACCTGGGAGTTGAGGATGATCCTGAGGTTTCAAGGTCGGCAAACTAGATGGATGTAATGATATAAAATTAAATGGGAAAAAGAGTGAATTAGTAAGTTTGAGGTTGGGGGAGGGAGGATTTATTGAGAGACATAAATAGTTTGGTTTCAGTAGTGGTAAATTTGAGGTGTTCAAACATATTCAACAAAGGATGTCTTTTTTTTTTTTAAATACTTTTAGTTGTAGATGGACACAATATCTTTATTTTTTTATTTGGTGCTGGGAATTGAACTCAGTGGCTCACACATGCAATGCAAGTGCTCTACCACTGAGCCACAACCCCAGGCCTAATTTTTTTAAATTTCTCCCCCCCCCCCTTTTTAACCTTTATTTTATTTTTATGTGGTGCCGGGGATCGAACCCAGTGCCTCACACATGCTAGGCAAGTGCTCGACCACTGAGCCACAACCTTGCCATATCTTTATGGCACAAATCTGGCCACTGGAACTAAACAAAAGACTAAAGATGGTTAAATCAAAGAACAAGAGAGCTGGGTGTAGATTTGGTGGTGTACATCTGTAATTCCAGAGGCTTAGAAGGCTGAAGCAGGAGGATCCCAAGTTCTAGGCCAGCCTTAGCAATTTAGCAAAGCCCTAAGCAACTTAGTGAGACCCTGTGTCAAAGTAAAAAATTAATAGGGCTGAGGATGTACCTCAGTGGCAAAGCTCCTCTGGGCTCAATCCCCAGTACAGATGCTACAGTACAGAACTGTTGGCTTTTTTTGAGTGCTGGGGATCATAAAACCAGGGCCTTGAGCATGTCAGGCAAGCACATTACCACTTAGTTATGTCTCCAGCCCAAGAATTGTTAACTTTTAAGCTACTCAGAAAAACAGGACACCTGTTAAGTACATGTTTCTTGAGCATTCACCTTTTGGTTAGTTCTTTAATTTTGTCCTGATTTCTCTGGTGCTGAACTTGTATCTCCTCGATGCGAATCCGTCTGTCCTCCATGAGCCCTTCGACTTGCTCTCTAGAAAACTTGGACTGCTCTTTTAGCTGCACCTGCAGTGCTTCCACCTAGACAGGCGACAGGGGTGAGGGATCCACTCCTGTGTGCACTTAGTTCATAACACTAAAAAAAAAAAAAAAACCTTTCCCAAAAAGAAAGCTAAAGTAAAACAAACCTAAAGCACAGCAGCAAAACAAAGAGGAGAAAAGTCTCAACTCTAATCTCTTTATTCATGTCTTATAAAGTGAGGTTAGGCTACAGAAGAGCAGACTCTTTGTCTACACTAAAGCCCATATCTACATCACACAGAGAAGGCAACAAAATTTTATTTCCCCAACCCTATCTTGCCTTTTCACTGTCTCCCTTTTAAGAGGTACTGCATGCATAGAAACAGAATGACTCTGAGTTTTTGATTTAAAAAAATAGAGCAAAAGGAATTTAATGTAATTTCCTTCTCTGATTCTGAAAATACTGGCCAAAGGTAGAAACTGTCATTTAAATCAATGGGAGAAGGATAGAAACTTCAGTGCAATAAGATAAAAGATGACACCAAAGGACATATAATTACCAGGTAACAAGAAAATGATTTATTACTTTCCTAGACTTTAGAACTCATGAACTAAATAAATGGATATAACTGCAAATGTTGATCTGTCAGCACAGAAAAACTTCCCTCTATAATTCTCTTGTGTTCCTCTAGGCCAACCACAAACTGAATTCTTACTTTAAGATGGCTTTGTTGGGTAGAGCTTAGCAATATGAACTGAAGGTTTAGAGAAGTACTTCTAGAATGTTCAAATAGAGAATAATAGTTTTAAACTATAAACACTTAGAAGAGCCGGGCGCAGTGGCACATGCCTGTAATCCCAGAGGCTCGGGAGGCTTAGGCAGGAGGATCATGAGTTCAAAGCTAGCCTCAGCAAAAGCAAGGTACTGAGCAACTCAGTGAGACCCTGTCTCTAAATAAAATATGAAATAGGGCTGGGGATGTGGCTCAGTAGTCAAGTGCTCCTGAGTTTAATCCCTGGTACCCGCCAATAAGCACTTAGAAATTAGGAAAACCTCAATTTTTTAAAATCACACGATGCCTAAATAAAACCCATGTGAAATGAAAATACTTGCATGATACTGAAGGAACATTTTACAAAGCTAAACGTGTGGACAGAAATCATCTTGGTCTGCCAAAATAAATCCATTACCTGTAGGATGAGTGTTTCTATGTCTCCTTGGTAATGCTTAGAACCATATTCCTTCTCTCTTATTGATGATCTTTTTTCTTCTTCTTTAGAATCTAAATTAGAAAACAAATATCCATCAACAAGACTACTCAACTTTTCTTTCTGCTATTTAATTTTCAACATTACAAAAAGAAAAAGTTTCAGCATTATCCATGCAGAGGAGTTCAGTTTCTTTTACCTATGACAGAAGGAAAGGAAGGCAAACACACAATACTTATAATGCTTATTTTTTCAAGTGGGAATTTCTGTAAGTAAACTCTATAGGAGTTCTCCTAGATAATCAGATTTACCTATCAGCAGAATCAACTACTAATGTTCCTTTGCATTGCGTCTACTTTCTTTTATTTTTGGTACTAGGGATTGAACCCAGGCATGTTCTACCACTGAGCTACATCCCTATTTTGTTCATTAATATTATTGATTGACTGATTGATTGTACTAGAGATTGAACCCAGAGGCACTTAACCACTGAGCCACATCCTCAGACCTTTTTATTTTTTATTTCAAGACAGGGTCTCACTAAGTTGCGTAGGGCCTCACTAAATTCCTGAGGCTGTCCTTGAATTGCCTCAGCCTCCAAAGTTGCTGGGATTACAGGCATATACCACCAGGCTCAGCTGTCTACTTTCTTAGTGAGATCTTACTTAATCAGAATGCATAAGGAATAAGAAAAACTAAATTCAAATATTTTGGTTATGACATATTAAACAAACTTCAAAACACAAAGTTATTGTTTTAATTTTTTAATTATATATTTTTTTAGTTGTAGATGGACACAATACCTTTATTTTATTGTTATGAGGTGCTGAGGATTAAACCTAGTGCCTCACGCATGCTACGCCAGTGCTCTATCACTGAGCTGCAACCCCAGCTCCAAGTTATTTTTAAAATAAGCAACACTATGGGCTAGGGTTGTAGCTCAGTGGTAGAGTGCTTGCCTAGCATGTGCAAGGAACTGGGTTCCATTCTCAGTACTGTAGATAAATAAATAGATAGATAAATAAATAAATGAATAAAGGTCCATTGACAACCAAATAAAAGCAACACTAGTACATACACACAATGGAAGATCACTCAGCCATAAAGAAGGATGAAATTATGGCATTTGCCAGTAAATGGATGGAACTGGAGACTATTATGCTAAGTGAAATGGGCCAATTCCAAAAAAACCAAAGGCTGAATATTCTCTCTGATATGTGGATGCTAACTCACAATAAGGTGGGGTTGGGGGAGAATAGAAATTCACTGAATTAGACAAATGGGAATGAAGGGAAGGAGGAAGGATGGGATAAGGAGATACAGTAGAATGAACTGGACATAACTTTCTTATGTTCTTACATGAATATACAACCAATGTAAATCCACATCATGTAGTTACAACCACAAAAATGGGAAGTTATATTCCATGTGTGTATATCAAAATACATCCTACTGTCATGCATAACTAAAAACAATAAAAAATTTTAAAATAAAATAAGCAACACTAGGGCTGGGGATGTGGCTCAAGCGGTAGCGCGCTCGCCTGGCATGCGTGCGGCCCGGGTTCGATCCTCAGCACCACATACCAACAAAGATGTTGTGTCCGCCGAGAACTAAAAAATAAATATTAAAAAAAAAGCAACACTAAAAATTACACTGAGGGGGCTGGGATTGTGGCTCAGTGGTAGAGTGCTCACCTGGCCCTGGGTTCGATCCTCAGCACCACATAAAAAATAAAAAAGTAAAGGTATTAAAAAAAAAATTACACTGAGGTTGCCAGAGCCTGGGAAGTATATAGAAAGGAAAACAGATGCAGGGGTATTGCTGGATCAGAGGATGATTTCTAATGTTCAAAAGCAAAGTGGGATAACTATGGTTGATGGCAATCAATTGTATATTTCAAAACAGCCAATGCAGAAGATTTTAAATGTTCCCCAAACTAAGAAATGATAGGTGATTTATATGTTGATTTTTTCTGATCTGATCACTATATATCATATACACTATTGAAATGCCACCCTGTGCTCCATAAATATATATGATTGTTATGTATCAATTTAAAAAATATTAAAACAAAGAATAAAAGAAAATATGTACTGAATAAAGTGCAGATTCTTAGATGATTCAAGAAGCTCGGTAAGATCTTAGACCACCAGAGGCATCATTATGAACATCAATTATCACTTGTTTAGTAGGAGAAATTTCAAATTATTTGTGCTGTGATTTTTAATTCTGCATCAACGAGACTTTCTAATAACATGGTTGTTACCTGGTTTAGGAGCTGAAGAATCATTCTGTTCACATACACCAGCAGCCTGAATAGTGTTTTGAAAAATGCTGACCTAAAGAACCAAAAAAGGATAAGTAGCTTTCCTGTAAGTGTGAAATTTTACTTTTTAGCCTTAATTCTGCCGATTCCACACTATTTTTATATTAAATTTGTCAAAACTGAATAATTATGCAATAAGGATGTTATGCATGTGAGAGGCAACACAAAATTTTTTTTAGATAAAACCTAGTGTTGATATAAACTAAAAAATAAAATTATAAGGATATTTCACAAAACATGCTTAAAAAAAGTGCTCTTTTACAAGGGCCTTTAAAGAAAGTAATAGAAATATTATATATTACAGAAATATTCATATGTAAATATAAGTAAAAACGCTAATGAGAAATTACCTATGAAAAGTGAAAAAAAGGAACTGGGCACAGTGGTTCCAGTGACTTGGGAGGCAAAAGCAGCAGATCAGGTTCAAGGCCAGTTAGGCAACTTAGGGAGACCCTGTTTCAAAATAAAATAAAAAGAACTGGGGTTGTAGCTGAGTGGCAAAACATCCCTGGGTTCAATCCCCAGTATAGGGAAAAAAAAAAGTGAAAAAATGGAAACAGTAAATAGTATATACATATATGTAAACATTTCTTTCTTTCTTTCTTTTTTTTTTTTTTTTTTGCAGTGCTGAGAACTCAGAGCCTCCTGCATGCAAGGCAAGTACTTTATCACTGAGATCTCTCCAGTCCAGTCCTATATAATTACTTTTTTAAAAAAATTTTGTTTTTTGGTACTGGAGTTTGAACCCAGGGACGCTTTAAAACTGAGCTACATCCCAACCTTTTTTAAAATTTTTTATTTTGAAACAGGTCTCACTAAATTGCTTAGGACCTTGCTAAGCTGCTAAGGCTGGCCTTGAACTTTCGATCCTCCTGCCTCAGCCTCCCAAATCACTAGGATTATAGGCATGTGCCATCATCCAGGCTCCCACATAAACATTTCTATAAGAATGGAAAAAAGAACTGGAAGCATATATACCAAACTATTTTTTTTTTGGTACTGGGGATTGAACCCAGGGGAACTTAAACTCAAGCTGCATCCCCAGCTCTTTATATTTTGAGACAGGGTCTTGCTAAGTTGCTTTGGCTGGCCTTCAACTTGCAATCCTCTTGGCTTAGCCTCCTGAGTTGCTAGAAATTACAGGTGTGCTCCACCATGCCCTGCTATATTAAACTATTAATAATGCGGGCTGGGGATATAGCTCAGTTGGTAGCGTGCTTGCCTCACATGCACAAGGTCCTGGGTTTAATTCCCAGCACAACAAACAAACAAACAAAACTATTAATAATGGTTCATTTCTGGGTTAGAGGATTAGGGGAAACTGTCATTTTTATATGATAGATCTCTGTACTGTTTTTTTTTTTTWAWTTTTTTTTTTAGTTGTTGATAGATCTTTATTATCTACATGTGGTGCTGAGAATCGAACCCAGTGTCTCACACATACCAGGCCAAGTGCCCCAGTCCCAGCCCTCTGTACTGTTTTTTAATAAATACCATGTATTACATTTGTAATCAGTATAAATCAAGATTTTTTAAAATCTTAAATACTGAAACTTTCTTTCCACAAAGTCTGCCCATTTTCCTCTTTAAAATATCTAAAATATCTACCCCTCTGGGCTTTATGTTTCTTTTTCTTTTTTGTGATGCTGGGGATAGAACCCAGGGCCTCATGCATGCATGCTAATCAAGCATTCTACAATGGCTTTAGGTTTCTAAATGGGGAAATGGAGTAAACAACACTACTTCCCAAGGTTTCTGAAGGAAAATGCTTTGCAAACTTAGGTCAACACAGTACTGTACTGGTTAACTACTCTCCATAAGTTTTCTTTAGCAAGTGCTGAATTACTGACCCCCATTCAATACCCAAAGATTACTTACTTTGTGGGGAGGCTCCTTATAAAAATAGGTCACTTCTCCAGTGTCCGTTTCCACAAGAGCCAAGAGATTCTGAATCTTTTTCTTGTCTTCTAGTTCTCTGCAATTGTCACAGAAAATTAGCACACATCATGGATCCCAAGTAAGTAACCTTTTCTGTTTCAAGGATCTCCCTTCTGACTTGTTTTTAAAACAGTAATCTCAAATTAAAATTAAATAAGACTTACTTAGACCTCAGCTATAGTTAAGACATCAGGTATTTTTATCTAGGAAGTCAGAGATGAGGGATAGAAAATAATTTCTCAGCTGGTCTTAGACAGTAACTCGTGGATGGAGAGGTGCACTGCCTAGATCCTTTTCTTCAGTACTGATGGGCTCATTCCCTGACTGCCAGGAATGTTGCCCACAGATGATTCACAGTAGAATCTTTCCAGAACTGCCCTCAGCCAAGGGGAACTACTTCACTGACTCATGCCTCCCATTCCTCAGGGACGGCCCACATCCAATACCTGGTCAATGAGGGAGTATAAACACCCAATCTCCTTGCCTTGGAGCCCCGTGTGGTGTTGGCTGAGATGTGCTGTAACTGAATCACAGTGGAAATTCTCCATCTGTCCAGTTAGGCTTTTTCCTTATTTCCTCAGAGGTGATTATTCCTTAGAGCACTCCCCCAAAAACTTCCTGCAAGCAAATCTTCATTGTGCAGTTTGTTTCCCAGGGAACCCAAACTGATACCAGACAGCTGATAGCAGATCTGCCAAGGAAGCAAACTCTAAAGAGGAACTTCAGAGCTAGTGATATGGAGACAGTTCATAGAACAAAGTGTTCCTAGGAGAAAGAGCAAGATAGATGGGGAGTTAACAAGGTACAGCTTAAATAATCAAAATAACCAAAGATGGAGAAGAGGCCTAGGGCTGTGCTCCATAAGAAGTCATAACCTTGGGTGCTTTTTTCCAGACTATTAGCTGAAGAAGAGGCTGGATCTCCTAGAAGGCAAAGACCTGTGACACTACAGCAAGTGTACAAGGTAAATGATTGCCCCCAATTCTTCACCACAAGACCTGCAGTCATTCATTCAAGTAGTTACACCAGGGTAAAAAGAATACCCTGGCACTTCAAGGATTGCTGTATACATGATCTGAGGTGACACTGATACCTGGTTAATGTGAAACATCACCATAGCACAAGGCATATGGGGACCATGGGATAAATAGAATTTTGGTGCAGCTCACAGTGGTTCTAATAGATTCACAGATCCAATCAACAGACACTTTCCCAGTTACTAAATATATAAATAGAATGCACATCCTTGGTAGTTGGTAGAACCTCCAAATTTGTTTCTTGGCCTCTGGGGTCAGAAGCCTTTGACACCATACTCAGTCAAGATGGTAAAAAGACTTAAACAATGCAACGAGGAGAGCCTTATCAACCCCTCATTTCATTCATTAGTATGACTTTACAAAAGAAGTTTGGATTCTGGAGAATAATAGCAAATTCTAACCAGGTAACTTCCAATTTCAATCACTGTGCCAGATGTAGTATCTTTGCTAGAGCAGATTAATGTGATCTGAGGTACATGGAATGTGGCCACTGATAAAGGTGAATGCATTCTTTTCCATCCCTCCAAGGACCAAAAGCAGTTCACATTCATGTGAGGTGGGCAAGAGTATACTTTTATAGTCTTTCCCTAGTGCCATGTTAACTCCTTTGATCTTTGTCAGTACAGTATAAAAGGATCTGGTTATGGTCATTCCACAGATCACATTTTTTTTCCACTATGGATAATATATTAAGTTAGAAAGCATGGAAAAGAGATAGCAAATGCACTGAAATCCCTAGTAAGATAAGTGTGTTCCAGAGGATTGGAGATAAACCTGACAAAGACATTAGTATAGATTTTAGGGATCTGATCTCACATGCCAGAACAATCCCTCCAAAGTAAAAGACAAAATTATTGAACCTTATAGCTACTACCATCAAGAAGGAAATGGAATGCCTGAAAGGCCTTGGAGACACATATTCTACACTTTGGGATACTGTTCTAACCCATGTATAAAGTAACATGAAAAGTGAGCTTTCAGTATGGCCAGGGCAGAAAGGAGGTTCTGCACTGGGTCAAAACTTTGGTACAAGCAACTCAGGTCATATGACCTGAAAGATCTTATAGTACCTGTGGTTAGAACAGGAATCATGAGGAGTTTTGGTTGACCTTATTATAAGAATCACAATAGATCCTCTCAGAGTCTGGAGCAAGATCATACCATCTAGAAGTAAGAATTAGAACATTTTGAAAAGCAGCTTTTGTCATGCTGCTAGATCCTGCCAAGATGAAGTGCTTAACTATGAGATATCCAGAAACCACACAGCTAACTCCTTTTAAAATGATGCTGGGGCTGGGGATGAGGTTCAGTGGTAGAGTACCTGCCTAGAATGCATGAGGCCATGGGTTCAATCCCTAGTACCACATACAGACCCACAAAAGATGGTAGGAGCTAGACATGGTAATGCACACCTATAATTCCCAGCAAATTGGGAGGCCCAGGCAGAAGGATTTCAAGTTCAAAGCCAGCCTCAGCAACTTAAGGAGACCCTCAGCAATTTAGTGGGACCCTGTCACAAACAAAAAATAAAAAGGCGGCTGGGGTTGTAGCTCAGTGGTAGAGCACTTGCCTAGCATGTGTGAGGTACTGGGTTCCATTGTCAGAACCGCATATAAATATCAGTGATAAAGTGCCCCTGGGTTCAAGCCCTAGTACTAAAATAATGATGATAATGATGGTGGAGACGGGGACTGGATATCTACATGCAAAGAATGATACTGGACTCTCAATATAATCTATAAAATTTATTCAAAGCTGGGCGAAGTGATGCACGCCTATAATTCCAGTGGCTTGGAAAGCTGAGGGAGGAGGATTACGAGTTCAAAGCCAACTTCAATAACTTGGTAAGACCTTGACTCTAAATAAAACAGAAAAAGGACTGGGGATGTGCTCAGTGGTTAAGTGCTTTTGAGTTCAATCCCAGATACCAAAAAAAAAAAAAAAAGGCTGGAGATGTGTCTCAGTGGTTAGGCGCTCCCGGGTTCAATCTCTAATGCCAAAAAAATAAAAAAATAAATTTTACTCAAAATGGATCAAACATCCAAATTTAAGTGTTAAGGCTATGAAATTCCTAGAAGAAAATCTAGAGGAAAAGCTTTTGATATTGGATTTGGCAGTGGTTTCTTGTATAAACCAAAAGCAGAAATAACTAAAAAATAAATAAATAAATTGGACTATAACAAATTTAAAACTTTTGTGCATCAAAGGATGCCAATAAGASAGTAAAAAGGCAATCTACAGAATTGGAGAAAATATTAGCAAATTATGAATCCAATAAGGGTTTGATATCCAGAACATATAAAGAACTTCTACAACCCAACAATGACAACAAAACCACCCAATTAAAAAATGGACAATGGCTGGGTGCAGTGGCACACGACTGTAATCCCAGCAGCTTAGGAAGTGGAGGCAAGAGGATTTTGAGTTTAAAGCTAGCCTCAGCAATTTACTGAGGTGCTAAGCAGCACAGTCAGACTCTGTCTCTAAATAAAATACAAAATAGGGCTGACAATGTGGCTCAGTGGTTGAGTGCCCCTGAGTTCAATCCCCAGTAAACCCCCCCCCCCCAAAATGGGTTAAGGACATGAACTGACATTTCTTCAGAGATACAAAAATAGCCAATAAACACATGAAAAAATGCTCAACATTGTCATTAAGGAAGTGAAAACAAAATCATAATGAAATACTTACTCATATCCATTAAGATGGCAACTGTCAAAAATATTAGAAAATGGGGCTAGGSATGGGGCTGGAGCTCAGTGATAGAGTGCTTGCCTAGCATTATGTGAGGCACTGGATTCAAGCCTCAGCACCACATAAAAATCAAACAAACAAACAAACAAATAAATAAATAAAATAAAAATATTGTGTATATCTATAACTAAAAATATCAGAAAATATTGCCAGGCATGGTTTCACATGCCTATAATCCTAGCAATTCAGGAGGCTGAGGCTGGAGGATGGCAAGTTCAAAGTAAGCCTCAACAACTGAGTGAAGCCCTAAGCAACTTAGCAAGATCCTATCTCAAAATTAAAAAAAAAAGGGAGGGGGCATTGGGGAATTGGGGATGTGGCTCAGTGGTTAAGAACCCCTAGGTTCAATCCCTGGTACCAAAAAACAAAACAAGACAAATATTAACAAATGTAGGCAAGGATGTAAAGAAATTAGAACCCATGTGTATTATTAGTAGGAATGTAAACTGGCATAGCCACTATGGAGAACAGAATGGCAGTTCCTCAAAAAATGTAAAACCAAATAATTCTGTAATGCCATTTCTGGATATATACCCATAAGCACTGAAAGCAGGGTCTTGAAGAATTGCTAAGTTGCTAAGACTGGCTTTGAACTTGTGATTCTTCTGTCTCAGCCTCCCCAGCCACTAGGATCATAACAGGTGTGTGCCACCATGCCCTGCTTGAAATGGTAAATTTTATCGGGGGTGGGGAGGAGAGAAGTAGAGGATGCCATAGTGCACTGCTTAAATGTACCTTTTAGAATCAAGATAACCATCTCCCAGGAGCCAGCTCCTTCTCAAGAACTGTGCTTGGGAGAAGGGGGCTGCTTCTCCCAAGTTTATGCCCTCTCCTTAAGGCAACCTGAATTCAATGACTGGTCAATATGGAGTTATAAAAGTCGGAATCCTCTGCCTCTGAAAGGCCACCCTAGCCTTAGAGCTCCCTGTTGGGATGGCTTTTTTATCAATATATCACAGTTCAAATTCTCTCATAGATAGTATATGTCAAAATATCTGCTAAGAGATATTACTCCTGAGAATCTCCCCAATAACTGGTCTGCAGGCAAATCTCCATCTCAGTTTGTTTCCTAAGGAATATAACCTAAGAGAATAATTGCAGATACATTTATCATTTTAAGTGTAATTTAGAGTTACAACTCCAACAATTCCCCTTAAGCTACTTGGTACCTGATTCTTAGTCGGTCATTTTCAGAGTACAGGCGTAAAACATGTTCCCGTTCTTGGAAGAGACAGACCTGCATATCACTCAGAGCTTTCTGCAATTCAGCAATCTCTTCATCCTTCTGCTGTAAATCCCATTCAAGTCTATGCTGTAAAAAAGGAAAGAAAACAACAAATAATAAGGTAATCAGAAAGATATTGGGTCTAAAAGAAGTTATTACTTTTTTTTTTGGGGGGTACTGGGGACTGAACCCAGGGTTACTTTACCACTGAGCTACAACATCAGCAATTTTGTTTTAGAACTAAGTTACTAAAGTTCTTGCTAACTTGGGGGCTGGTTTTGAACTTGTGATCCTCCTGTCTTAGCTTCCTGAGTCACTCAGGATTATAGACATCACTACCACAGCTCACTTAAGATGGTTCTTTTTGAATAAAAATCTAATTTTATTGAACACAGAATAGATGGACTTTCAAATTAATTATTTTTGCTTTTTGATTATTGCTTTTCCAAGTCATGATGATCTCTGGTAAAACTTACCAAATGGATTTCTGTTTCTTTAACAGCAACAAAAAAGATCAGGTACTAACAAAACCATCTTATGAGACAGTGTTTAATAAATATATTTAATTTATTTATTTTTACAGTGCCGGGGAATTAAACTCAGGGCCTTATGCATACTAATTCTCTACCATTTAAGTATATCCCTAGTCCTAAGCATATTTTATTTATATAAATCTTCTAGTAGGAAATAGAGAATTTGTTCTTTTACTTAGAAGAAGGATACATGAATAGTTATCAAATTGATCTGTATAGCTTACCTAYATTTCCATACTAGAAATGTTCCAAAAAGAACTTAAAATGTTACAATTCTTTTTTTTTCAATGATGGGGATCAAACCCAGGGCCTACTATACACAAAGAATGCATCCTACCACTGAGCTAAACCCCACTCCTTAAAGTGTCAATGTCTCTCATGACATGCTTTTGTCTTGATTCTGCCTACGCTTTATTAATGATTCCATATCATAACCTCCGTCTTCATAAATTTTCTTTAGAACACTTATCAATCTCTCTTTTGGGGCTACTCATAGTTCTTTAGAACACTCATCAATCTCTCTTTAGGGTCTGCATCAGTTTCACAGGAGGGTTTTTTTTACTCTCTTCAAAATGAGGCAGGAAGTCCTACCAAGTGTTTTGTGTATGTTTTGTTTCTACATGATAACTACGTCAGCTGGGTGTAATCCCCAGCAACTAGTGAGGCTGAGGCAGGAGGATCCCAAGGTTAAGACCAGCCTCAGCAAAGCAAGAATCTGTCTCAAATTTTTCAAAAAGGGAGTTGGGGCTGGGGCTGTAGCTCAGTGGCAAAGTGCCTGCCTACCATGTGTGAGGTACTGGGTTCAATCCTTAGCACCACATAMAAATAAATAAAATAAAGGCATTCTGTCCATCTACCATTACAAAAAACAAAAAAATAAAAAATAAAATAAACATTAAAAAAAGGGGGGTTGGGGATGTGGCTCAATGGTTAAGAACCCTGGGTTCAAACTCCAGTACCAAATAAATAAATAGGTCTGGAGATAYAGTTCAGTGGTAAAGTGCCCCTGAGATCAATCCCCAGTAACAAAACAACAAAACAAAAACTATATCAAGTCTTGCCCTCCAGAGAAATGGATTTCAAGAGGTTGCTTACAATCATGGACTAACTTTTCCCATTTAGACTCTTTTTAAAGTTTTTCTTGGTACTAGGGAGTGAACCCAGAAGTGCTCAACCACTGAGTTACATCCCTGGTCCAAATTGCTGAGGCTGGCTTTGAATTTGCAGGATTACAGGCATGTGCCACCATACCAGCTCCCATTTAGACTTTTTTTTTTTCAATTTTTTTATTAGTTGCTCAAAACATTACAATGATCTTGACATATTATACATTTGATTCAAATGGGGTGTGAAYTCTTATTTTTCCATGTGTACAGATTGCAGTATCACATTGGTTATACAGCCACGTTTATACATACAGCCATACTAGTGTCTACTGCATTCTGCTACCCTTCCTATCCCCCTCCCTTCCCCTCCCCTCCCATCACCTCTCACTACCCTCTCTTCTGTGACACTTTTTTCTCTCTTTTTTCTTCCCCCTCACACCATCTTATATGTAATTTTGCATAACAATGAGGGTCTCCTTCCATCTTCCTTGCAATTCCCCTTCTCTCTCCCATTCCCACGCACCTCTCGGCCCTATTTAATGGTAATCTTCTTCTCATGCTCTTCCTCCCTGCTCTTTTTTGAGTCGCCCCCTCCCTTATATCAAAGAAGACATTCGGCATTTCCTTCTTAGGGATTGGCTAGCTCACTCAGCATAATCTGCTCTAATGYGATCCATTTCCCTGCAAATGTCTTGATTTTGTTATTTTTTAGTGCTGAGTAATATTCCATTGTGTATAAATGCCACATTTTTTTTTTATCCATTCATCTATTGAAGGGCATCTGGTTTGATTCCACAGTCTAGCTATTGTGAATTGTGCTGCTATGAACACTGATGTAGCTGTGTCCCTGTAGCATGCTCTTTTAAGGTCTTTTGGATATAGACTGAAAACGGGAATAGCTGGTCAAAAGGTGGTTCCATTCCCAGCTTTCCAAGGAATCTCCATACTGCTTTCCAAATTGGCTACACCAATTTGCAGTCCCACCAGCAATGTACAAGTGTACCCTTTTCCCCACATCCTTGCCAGTACTTATTATTGTTTGACTTCATAATGGCTGCCATTCTTACTGGAGTGAGATGGTATCTTAGAGTGGTTTTAATTTGCATTTCTCTGATTGCTAGAGATGGTGAGCATTTTTTCGTATATTTGTTGATTGATTGTATATCCTCCTCTGAGAAGTGTCTGTTCAGATCCTTGGCCCATTTGTTGATTGGGTTATTTGTTTTCTTGTTGTTTAATTTT